CCCTCGGAGCGTTCTCGCGCTTCGCGACCGACAAGTTGCCATCGTCTCCGTCGTCTCCGATGATTGTGTCAGTAGGAGGCTTTGGGCTGGCTTTCTGGTGTCGGTGAGCCACCGCACCGCTTGACGAACCGGGCTCATGAAAAAACAGAGTAGCGCTGGCTGGCCACGTTGGCATGTGTTCATCCTCAGCACATAATCAACAGGCCATCTCGTCTTTTTTTTGTTTTTTTGGTTGTTGTCATCTATTCTATATAAAGTATGTGTATGCAAGTGGAAAACAAAGGGGGATGCAAGAGGATGATATATACATAGGACAACAGACAATGTGGACGACTCTAGCCCACCCCGGTATCACTACCACCACCACCAAGACCTGCACGACGGGGAACAGGCCGTGAATGTATATATGTTTATATATATCATTTCAAGCATAAACCCGCCTCCTGTCGCTGAACCATCCCGCAAAACGCTCTCTCAATCAGTCCGCGAACCCAAACACCTCGCCGACAGCGAGGGTGTTGGTCCTCACACCGAGCAGCGCGATGGTGATGCCCACGAGGTCGACGACGAGCAGGACCGCGGCGGCCATCATGAAGCGCGGGTTGAAGACGCGGTACAGCATGAGGTGGCGCCGCAGGTGGCCCGCCCAGGCCATCGTGGCGAGGCTCTCGACGGCGTAGTACGCGATGAAGACGCCCAGCGCGCGGCTCGCGGACTCGATGACGCCCTTGCGCTTCGGGCCCGTCTTCCACATGACGACGAGGGGCACGGCGACGCACGCGAGGATGGGCCCCGCGAACGTGTTCATCGCCACGACCAAGGGCGTCCAGGGGTACCGGATCGTGGTGAGCGGGATAAAGGCCGTGTCCCACTGTATCGAGGAGAGGGTGGCCTGGTGGCCCGTCTTGAAGAAGTGGAAGTTGCCCAGCAGCGCGAGGGTGACGGGGCCGATGGCCTCGGCGCTGATGCCCTGCACGTCGAGCACGTCGACGAGCGAGAGAATCTGCCAGAGCATGATGGCGATGGCGCCGCCGCCCATGGGCTTGGCGAGCAGGACGAGCGCGCCGCAGATGTTGATCGGCAGGAGCAGGTACCGCGAGCCGTGAACGTTGCCGTAGCCCAGCACCGTGACCTGCGCCGTGCGCCCGCCGCTCGCGTGCGTCTGGATCGAGACGCTAGGTGGCGCCCAGCCGAAGGCGACGGAGCCGGCCACGAGGGTCAGCGCGAGAATGACTTGCGCAATGAAGATGCGGATGGTCTGAAGGGCGCCCTCCTCCAGGCTGGGGAACCACCGGCTGTTGTCCGCGGCATCGAGCGTCCAGTAGATGGCGGACAGGAAGAGGCCGCCGCGGAAGATGTAGCCGATCCAAGCGGGGGCTAGTCCCTCGTAGGAGCGGGATGGCATGAGGTAACCTTTGACAACGGAGGGAAGGATGAGGACGACCGCAAAGGGAATGGCTAGCTGCCAGGTTGCGGAGGTTGTAGAGTTGGCCGAGGCGTAGAAGGTCGACTCGCAGTAGGGCATCTGCTCTTCTCTGCACAGCTTCGAGAACGACGCGAGGCGGCTGAGGATGATAAAAACAACTGAGTGGTACATGGCCAGGGTCCTCTCGGCCCGGGTGGGGAGTCGGAGTGCTGCAATCATCGCAGTAAACCCAAATGTCGCAAGGAAAAACAGCGAGATGGAGTCCTCCCAGATGGTGAACGAGTTGGCGGCAAACCCGATGGACTGGCTCAGGGTGAACACGACCGCGAGCCAGCCCCAGAACGTGTTGGGCGCAAGGTTGCGGAAGGCCTTGCCAGCGCCGACAAGTCTTGCCGTGACAGTGACCATGCTGGAAAGGGCCGCAACGGCGGCGGCGAGAATCCAGTCCTCGGAGCCGGTGAACAACACAACCGAGACGCCGAGCACAGCACCCAGGACAGTGCTGATGGCCCCTGCCTTAACCAGATACTGGTTAACGCTCTTGTAAGAAACATGGCCAACATCCGTGGGCGCGCCCTGCAGCTCGAGACTCTTTTCGGCAGAATCGAGGTCGACGTCGTCCAGGATCGCAAAGTCCTCGTCCTCGTCCCGCGATACATAGAGCAGTAGCACCACAATCCCGAAGGCCATGGTGAAGACGCCGAGGATCATTTTGGGAACGTCGAACCGCGCCCACAAGTCCTTGCAGATCGCCAGGGTGGCGACCTGGTAGTCGGTAAATGCACGGTGCAGCAATTCCCAATTCAAGGACCTGCCACCCTCGGCTGCAAGCTTCTCGGCACGTGCGAAAAGGTGAGCGGGCGAGCCGTCATGGGTAGCTTGCTCAATGCCCCTGGCCTCAAAGTACGAAGCCTGGTATCTTCGGATTCCGGCAGCGACCACGCTCGAAGCAGCCGCGAGCTTGTCCCATGCCTTGCCCTTTGCTCCAATGAAGGCCTCTTCAATAGGCCGACCAAGGTTGTTGTATGGCACAGGAATACCCATCAAAAGTGCCAGGGTAGGAACCAGATCGATCTGGTTGACAGGCCTGACCTTGGCGTTCGGCGGCGGCTTGTTGTGTTCAGGGGAGGTACGCCCGAAGACGGGCTTCTTAGAATACATCCACAGGGCAGCCTCGATTTCGTCATCGCTCTCGCCTCCATGGTCGCCTTTTGCGTCCATGCCGTGATCTCCCATGATGACGAGCAAGGTATCGTCGTCGATCGAGTCAGCGAGGTCGCGAACGAAACCGTTCATCTGCTGCAGCTTCGCGGTCATGGCAGGGTGGTTCGGCCCATAGCGATGCCCCGCATGGTCAACGCCAAGCAGATGTCCGAATATGATATCCCACTTCCCGCTCTGTTCCGGCTTCAACAGAGGGAAGATATGGTCGATCACGCCGTTATCCACCGTATGTAGATCCCACACGTTGAGACTGTCGTAAGCACGGCTAATGTTGGCCTCGAAATAGTCCGGGAAAAGAGCAGTCCAGGTGTCGTCACCGAGATGCACCATACGCTGGCCCTGATCCCTGAACTGCATCAACAGGTTGTCCTCCTCCACAGCAGTCCCGGCAAAGTTCGAGCCGATGTCGACAAAGGTCGGCAGTGTGCCGGTCGTGAGACCGCGGAGTCGCTGGAGTGTCGAAGTCGGAGGATCGGCGATGAAAGGAAGCAAGAACGCGTTCTGGGGCGACGTGGCGGCCGTCTCATAGAGGAAGGGCAGCGCATTGTGGTAAACCTCGGCCTGGGAGGCGTCATCGACCGGAACGGTGAAGTCGTAGCGCAGAGCGTCAATGATGACGACGACAGCCTTGCGGAAGGTCCGCGGATGCCAGCATCCGCCGTCGACAGTGCCCTGGGCCGGCCATGTAGCCAGCGGTTGAATCGGAGGCTTTGCGCACTCGGATCGTTCCTCGAGGACAAGCCGTGTGAGAAGGAAGCCGCTGGTGAAGAGCAGGATTCCGATGGCGTGTATGCAGAGCATCCATATCCAGAAGGCTACCGTCCAGAATGCTCTGCTCTCGAAACCGGCTTTTCGCTTGCGCTCGAGGGTGGCTCGTTCAGCTTCGGCGGCGGTGGGCTTGTGCTGGGCTGGTTGCTGGCGCTTCGCAGCATCCTCCGCCTCCTTGGCCTTCTTGGCCTTGGCCCATTGAGCAGCGATGGCCTGATATTCGGGGTTCGAGCCCTTGGCCGGGGTGGAAGCCGCGGCTTTCGGTGCCATTGTCGTGAGGGGTGGTCGTCGTTCCCGACGTAGATTTGGTGTTGTCGCGTCGCGGTTTGATGGTCGATCACTAGGGGCTCAGGCAAGCCATCGGACTAGAAGAATAAGGAGAGGGATTTGGTACGGTATGCGTGGTGTATGATGAGTCAGATCATGACAAGGAGTGCCCAACGCAGAAAGAGATTGGTGCCTGGCTGAAGAAGAAGAGATGTCGAAGCGGTGGTGAAGGGAGGGTGCAGGCGAACTTGAGGGCTAATTTTTGTCGCATTGAGCGACAGCTCCTCAGGGTGTCCAGATGTCTGGCCCTTGGCCCATGTCAAGCTACGATTCGGTAGTGGGGACCTTGCATGGGGCTCCTAAATTCCCCGCCGCGATCTCCGTCATTCTGGAAGAAGGGCTCTCTGGTCCTTTAGGCACACTGATCAACCCACCACAACACCGTACCACAAGCTCTTATGGCCTGGAAGCTCTACATAGACTTGCATGGCCCTCATGAAGTAGGTCCAGAGGTCCAGAGGCCGAATCAGAAACACGACAGTCAGAAGGCAGAGGCCTATGTAGAACCCCTGGAAAGACTCCAGGGCCAGTAGGCATGAGCACTTCCCACAGCTGAGATACCTGGCTTGGAGAAACGCACCTGCTGCGCAGCCCACCTCAATGTCGCGGTTCTGATGCGCCAAGGTTCACAACGCAACACGCAGCGAGAGGCACAACGCTAGCCATCCATAAAGTAGCCAAGCCACATAGCTGGTTTTCTCGAGCGTCAATGACATAATCTGGAAAGATATGTTGTGACGCAGAGGCCATGTCGAACTTGACTGACGGGACTAGCAACCTCGGGACTTCTGCACATCTGGACCTCTCAGCCTCTGAGCCTCTGAACCACTCATGCCTCCGACCTCCGATACCTCACTGCACGAAAGCTTATCACATGCACCCGAAGCTGCACACAAATGCCCTTCGGCGCACCACCAAAGTGCGCCAATCACTTCGCTCCGGGATCCCCGGACACTTCGCACATTCACGAGAAAATGGCCCCCATACGCGCAATCGACGACACAGTGCATCGTGGACGTCTCCAGCAGCTACAGAAACACGCCGAGCACCATACAAGGTCAAAGTTACCTGTTCAACCACCCACAGATCTCGAAAGATGACTTTCCGAAGATCGAAGCCCTCCCGACCGCTGGACACGCGAATTTGTCGGCTGGGTTGCGCCCAGAGGCCCTCGAAAATCTGCCAAGTTGACATATACCTGGATAAGCCTCCGAAAAATCAACAAATCAAGAGCGGGACAACGTTTCGCCTTTTAGCTGGTATGGCCGAGTGGTCTAAGGCGCTTGTTTTAAGTGGGTTTTGCCCAAAAACACAAGTTTCGTAAGAAGCGCAAGTTCGAACCTTGCTGCCAGCATGAAGCTGCCTCGCCACGCATTGTCGTGGTGGGCGTGATGATTTTTGGTGTTTTGGTGATGAATGCCGGTCATGCACGGAGCTCCAGGCCGGGGGTCCACTTTTGCCGGAGCCCCGTCGGGACAATGCTCCTGTGCGATGAATGGGCGTGATTCATGACCCATTCAGCAACTGATTGAATACACTCTTGATGGCTTGATTCTTCACAACGAAGCACAATTGCAATGGGTGTGTGTGCCATTGCGAGTGTGTGGGTGGGTAAGCCGAGCACTAGCCCCTGAATCGGGATCCTGGCCCCCTAGACTCCACCTGGCTTACTATCCGGCATGGTGCTGTGTCACTCGTGCACAGCACCTTCAACACCGCTTGGATCAGTGGAGAGACACGCAAGTCCGATTATTGGTGGGCCCAAGTACTTTCGTGCAATGCTCTTTCCTCGAGCACGCACGAGATGATGGAGTGCCAGGCCTCATCTCTTGATTGTAATGCCTGGTTCTCGCGTGTATGTCTTGGCTTAACTGCGGTTGCCACACTGTAGACCTGCACGAATGTAGCTCGCTTGATGCTTCTGAAGGGCAATGCCGACGTGCAGGGCAGCGTCGTGCCTTGACCTGTGTGACAATTGCCAGCATAACGTGACAATGATGTCGCCATGCCCGGTGTAAGTCGTAGTTTCCCAGGAGTCGGTGTGTCTCCAGTCGCATTGTACCTCTGGCACCTCTGCCAACATGGCAGCGTGAATAATTAGCTCAGGGATTCACGCTGGTACAAAGCTTCCACATGTTCAGCCTCGAACGCCAGGCAGAGCCGTGTGAGTAACCCTAGGCCATTGCAGATCGAGCTACTCTTCTTTCTGCACCCGTGTGTGACAGGCTTGCTTTTCAGCTCGGCCTCTGTCTCGAGGACGGTGAGCCAGACATATAAGGTGCACTCCGGATCCAACGCTGCTTCGCATTTCGTCATGGCCGATTACCCTCTTTCATACGTCCCAGTTCTTCACGAGACCGAGTAGACCCCTGCTGCAATAACCATACTCTATTTCCCCCACCACTATCAACATCATGCCTGTCACAACCCTGACAACCTGTCTTTGGTTCGATGGACAAGCCGAGGAAGCGGCCAGATTCTACACCGGCATCTTCAAGGACTCCAGGATCATCACCAACCTAGCGTACACCGATGCCGGGTCCGACACGCACGGCCAGAAGCCCGGGTCTGTCATGATAGTCGAGTGGGAGATGCTGGGCCAGCGCTTCGTGGGCCTCAACGGCGGGCCGATGTTCAAGCACAGCGAGGCCGTGAGCTTCCAGATCGACTGCGACACGCAGGAGGAGCTCGATCGCTACTGGGATCAGCTGGGCGCGGGAGGGGACGCGAGCCGCCAGCAGTGCGGCTGGCTGGCCGACAAGTTTGGGGTGGCGTGGCAGGTGGTGCCGGCGGTGCTGAAGAGCTATATGGCGAGCGGCGACCAGGGAGGGGCTGCGAGAGTGACGGAGGCGATGATGAAGATGAAGAAGATGGACATTGAGGCGCTTGATGCCGCTTTCCGAGGTCAATAAGCCGGGGTTACCAAGAAAAGTTCACGTTCGCACATCAGTTGAATGGTCAGCTCAGAGTCCCAAGACCTTTGATTCCCCGCCACCGCAGAACGCAATGAATCTCTGGCACCTCTGGGCCTCTGGATATCTATAAATACATTTGGAGTTGGATAGCCAACACAGAAGTAAACAGCAGCATCGGTCCCCAGAGGATCAAGACATGGCAGAGGCCCCAGAGGTCTGCAATACCAAGTGATCGCATCATCATCAAGCGGTCTCCATGCTGAAGATTTCCAGTGGCATGGGTGGCCTCTAGTCAAAGAAATTTACTAAGCTTGGCACAGTGACAGCTCCCCAGGGCTCGCGTGATAGGTCACTGTAGTCAGCCTTGCATGCGATGAAGTATTCAGGCTTACGTCGGCTGCTTCCTGTTGCGCACAGCCGTCTGAGCCATGACGTTGTCCACGCCACGTCACGAGTTGCTTATCGGTGTATGAGATTGTTGCTCGCGACTTGGTGCCAGTTCTAACGACCACCGTGTGAATGTTACCCCGTTGCAGATACGCGATAGGTTGTTGTGAAATCGAGAGATCGAGTTGTATCCGCATCCGCAGCCATACGTACACAAAAGCCAATGCCCGTAGCTGCATTGCCAATAGCTCGGATTAAGTATATACAATTAGAATATACAAGGCTGGCAGCAGGCGCCATGACAAGCAGGACTTGCTGCGCGCCACTTGTTCTGTGTGCATAGAGTTCCAGCTGGGCCTGTACTTGCCCTATATGCCATCCGCACTATACTTTATGCCCGTCCACCAATATAGACACATCAAGATCATCAACATATATACCACGCGCCTCTTCTGTCGTTCAGATGATTATCGCTAAATGCCCCGGATGGTGTGTAAGAGTTGCGCCCGCTGAGAAACAAAGTAGAGTGACGAGCCGCCTAGGAGGACTGAGTGCGTTCCTTCTCCTTGAGGCCGCCGATCTGGTTCATGTCAATCGAGTAGAAGTCACCGGCGTTCTCCTTCTGGTAGGCGGGCAGCTGCTCCTCCTTGTACGGCTCGAGACCAATGCTGGTGTCGCCAACACGGACAACGACGACACGGCCGTTCTGCTGGCGGCCTTGAGCATCGTGCTCATCCGGGAAGGTGATGTGGATCTCGGGCACGTTGCTGGGCGAGTGAGGCGGCAAGTTGGGATCCGAAAGCATGGGGCGGCCGTTGACGAGGAGGACGCTGGAGCGGCCATCGGCGGTGTGGATGTTGAGGCGGTTGATGTTGCGGCCCTGCTGGTGCTCGAGGTCCTGGTATTTGGGCAGGCCATCCTCGAGATTGCGCTGGCGCTGCATTCTGATGCGGCGCAGCATGACGAGGCTGGACGCAAGGCAGAGAGAGAAGAAGACAATGCCAAGGAAGGCGATCATCAGGTTGAGGGTCGAGTCGCCGTTGCCCATGTTGAGGTCGCGGCGACCAAGGAAGCTGAAAGTCGACATGGTGGTGGTGGAAGACAAATGGCTTTCAAGACCAAATCGGGAAGTCTGGGGCGCACTTGGGGTTGTATAAGTGGTCGGGATACTGGTCGTAAGGGATGAGTTTCGGGCGCAGGAGAAGCTAGATCGAAACCTGGAGGGAGACACCAGACAACCGGTCAGCGGTGCTGTCCTCGAGGGATAGCCCAAGGGGTCCCGGCAACAGCTTTGCTTGCTCGCGTGGAGAGATTCCACATACACAGGAGGCAATTAGGACGTCGGTGTCGTAAGATGCCGAGAAGTCGTCGTCAAAGAACGTGATTGTCGCAGAGGACTGGATCGGGTCAACCAGAGAGTGGAGTTGAGGGCCGAGGAAAGCAGAAGGTAAAGAATGACTGTGTGGCAAGAGACAAGCTCTGTGAACCAACAAGGACGACGAGAAGGCGGCAGGAGCGACAGCGAGGGCGACGATGAGAGACCGTGAGGGAGCAAAGGAGAAGAAGAGGAGGCGAAGGCCTGGTCAAGACTCAAAAGGGGAGCGACGCTGGGCAGTGGGCGGCGCCAGCCAGCGCTTACAGGGCGGTGCACTGTCCCTGGCCAGTGATTGCACAATGTAGGCAAGGCCCCCAGGCGGGTTCGCAGCGCCGTCCCTAGAGCCTGGGCAGGGCCCCCTCTCGGCGGCGCTAGCGCAGGGGTCCCCAGACAGGCACCGCCCGCTGATTCGCCGGCGCCCGCTGGCCCATCTGGGACCTGCAGGCTCGGGTGATTCAAAGTCGCACGCGCGCTCCTTCCTCGCCTCCCTCAAGCACCCGCGCCTCCTCCCAACTGCACAGACATGAGCCGGCGCTGGCGCCAGAGGGCGCTTCGAGAAGGCATCAAGATCCGTCTCGGCAAGCTTGCGACTGGTTGGCCAAGAGTCGGCAGTCCGGTGACCGAGATGTGGCTGACAATGTTCTTGCCTGGAACCAAGCACCGTTGGCGGCATTGTCCTCGAAGACGAGGGCCCGCTCCGCATGCACCGTTGGGAACCTCTCATATGCGGCCCCCCTGGCCAGCCATCCTTGCCTCCTCACGCACGCCACGCATCCCCTCTTCTTCCCAGCTGGTCACCAGCATGGAGTCACATTTGTGCTCACTTTGTCACAGCCTGTCTGTCTTTGCTTTCTGGCGGCAGGCAGTTCAGCCACCGCGCTTACGGATATCATTCTGGGTTGTCTGGACCTAGGCGACTAGGTCGGATGATGCCCTCGGAAGGTTCTGGGGTGAAATGCTCGCGGCAGGCTGCCATGACAATCACCACGGTGGTGCAAGCAATACCTGCGGCAACGCCGGGCCCCATCCTACGCCGCTTATCGAGGCACTTGGAGGGACTGACTCCTGCTGTTCGCTCCCCAGCTAGACTGGTCCGGCTACGAAGCCATGCGCAAGGACCCATTCATATGCGAGGCATGTTGGCCATCCTGGTTGTGCCATTTCCAGGTGTCCACTCTGGTGCTCAGCGCCTGGCGATCGGAACCCTATAGGAGGAGGCGACAAGATCGTGGAGTTGCTGCTCCGGGCCGCGAAATTTGCACCGGCAAAGCGACTTGGCCTAGGCCACCAGAGACTCCTCATATTGCAAGGACAACTTGGGACGATATGCACGAGCGGGAAGTCCTATCTTTTGTTGGAGAAGGTGGTTCCTGAAGTGCCGAGCCAATCCGGAACTGCTCGGACACAGGAACACGACTAACCCGCAGACAATAGATGTCTCACCGACAAAAAGCATTGGCCAGCATTGTGTAAACATATACAGGCAGCTAAAGACGCAACCCGCGACAACAGAACTCTTTTGTCAGGGCATGGACAAAAAGTGCAAAAAGAAAGTGGCTCCCCCGGACAGGCTTGAACTGTCAACCTCCTGATGGCAACCGATAACCTGTGTTAGCAGATAACGATAACAGTCAGACGCGCTAGCCAATTGCGCCACGGAGGATGAGACCATCTAATGTGTGATGATTTTACATCTTCTTACAAAAATAGTTATAGTCATAGAGTTTTCCTATGGACGCCCAAATTGGATGTATTGCATAAAGGCTGCAAGTCCACTAGCTGCACCACTAATACAGCCCATCTTGAGGAGGGAATGGTCGTCTGGACTCATGAAGCCGACAGCCACCCTTTTCAGTTGAGAAAGAACACCTTTCGATCCGCGGCTTGGAAGATCTATGCTAAGCTACAGCCTCAACAGCTGGCTTTGCATATTTTTCATAGCACTGAAAGCGAGTATGTTCCTTTCCCCCATGGCAGCTGATACTGCATTGAAAAAGTTGCAGAAAGTCCATCCTTTGAGAGCATGGCTTCGGCATCTTCGACCGAAGAGTCTTCATATGACCCGGGTATGCGACATCATACAAGTCCCTTACGAGATGGGAGGACTAGACCTGGCCATGATCATGGTGAGACATGCTGCAAGCTAGAGCAGCCAAGAAACAATACTGCCGCCTCTCCTCCCCACAAGAGACCCTCCAGCCTAGCGAGAAACAATGGACAAGCTCGCCTGTTGGCGTCCTTAGCACTTGCTTAGCTGCCCCCGGCTGTATCCGATCCTGACTGAGACCGCGGACGTGGTGTCAACTCAATAAAACCTTCCGCTCTTCCCACAAGCCTCGCAGAACTCATCTACGGGTTTCTTACCACGCCGTCTCTCTCGACACATCCCTATCGTTGGACATGGAATGCCTGAGAAGGGCCGGTACGGCCGGCGACGGGACTCGCCTTTCGAGGCAATGCAGGGTCAGGCCATGTCTGCGGTGCCACGGACCCGAAATTTGGCCGTTTGTTGTCGTGTTACCTGATCCGCCCTCTCACGGCCATCCACAGCTGTGCAGCTCCAGGGTTCTTGAGCTGGGAGGTGCTGGGTCTGAGATGCAAGGGAGATAGATACCACAAGAGGGATTCTCGGGGCGGGTTCATTAGTTCAGGTTGCGGTCTGCGGAGCTCCTCAATGTCCAGGGTGCCCTATGGAGATAGTGCCCCGGAAGATGGACGACGACCTTAACTTCTGCCTTTTTTTAAAGCGTGCGAAACCATCCTGCTTACTCTGGAAAGTGATTACATGGTGACCCTTATTCAATCTGATGTCTGCCAGTGGGGATTCGAGCTTAACAAAGTTGCTCCGGAGAGCACGGATGCTGAACTGCAGGGTTTTCAAACTTCTCGAATATTGCCAAACACCTTCATGACACATATGGGTGACCAAGCGAGTAAACCTACGCGGATCTCCGTGCAGAGGCGCTTTTCCAGTCCCAAAACTGCGATGGCTTCTTTTTTCCCAGGCTGTATTTGGTTTTTCCACACCGAAAACCAACCCCACTGACAAAGCCGAACAAGGCATTTTCTGAATCATAACGGACTAGCAGCTCACTAGGCACGGCGTGCTCCCTTGAGCCCCTGGCAGGAGGACGATCCCTTTGAAGCAAGCTGTGTCCCCTCAGCAGCTCCCGTGAGAGCTAGCGAGCTTCCCCGGTGACCCACTACCACTGCCTTGTCCCGATCAGGCCGTCGTTCGAGCCTCACGATGGATCTCGGAGAGGGCAAGGGAGCAACATTTCAGAGACACGAAGCTGCCATGCTGCGATAGCGGCAACGCCTGAGTCTGGTGCTTGGTTGTCCAGGTGCGCCCTGATCCCGTCGTACAAAACCATTTCGCGGGACCCTTTGCTGTCGTGATATTTCACGCCTGTCCACCCTCTCTCGCGTTCTCTCCCTCTCCCGCCCTCCCCGCTGCTCGCTGCTCGCTCCTCACATGTTCTCTCTGGTGTGACCGCTCGAGCTTTGTGTCCCACGGTTAGACGACATCTGAAGTCTGGCCGATACACTGCCTCTCCCGGCCGCCACTGTCCTTGCACATACAACCCACCCAGCAGCCCGCCCGTACAAAGAAGTTCCATTGCGCTTGACATTTCTGTCTCTCCAAAAGGGTCATTAATCTAATCATCCTCTTGTCCGTTTATCTTTATCCTCTCCTGACGCATCGACGGATCAGACGTCAACCACATCCTCGTACATACAATCCGAGTATACAGACTTTGTGGCTCCAGGCACAGAAGACATACGTGTACACACCGAGTAGACACATTACTTGATACACCGAACCCGCGGTTTCGAAACAATACCCAGGCAAGTTTGCAGCCGACGACAAGCAGAGTCGCAGCTGCGTCCAGTCTGCTGACCGGGTTATTATTTTTGGGACAGCTGCAGCTCCGAGTCGTCCAAGCAAGCCTCTCACGCAAAAGTCACCGCGACACTTGTGCACAGACACCGCGCACGCGACTTCGCGCACCAAGCGATTGCCTCATCCAAGCCGGCCAGCAAAGCACGAGCCTTCACGTCCGACGCAATCGGACCTCGCTATCCTCTGCCGGACAGCCCTTCTGCCCTTGCAAGCTCGACCCGCGACGCCTGGGGAACCTTGGAAGCTGAAAAGCAAGCTCCAACCTTGCGGCAGCATTAACAAGTCTTTTCGGGTGCACACGCCCTCGTATTGCCTCGCGTCTTGGCCATCGTGCCATACTCTGTGACCTCGGGAGTGCAAGTCTGCCCGTGCCAGACCTTTGCAGCATCCCGTGCTCGCGCAGCAGGTGCTCAGTAAGTCTTTGCGGTCCCCTTTCCAGTTCTTTCCAGTTCCATTATTCGTCCTCGCCAGCCCCGACCCCACCTGCCCGTCCCTGTGCCAAGCATGGCGCCAGTGGGAGGGAGGCAGGGGCCACACCCTCGACGGCCCTGGCCTCAAACACGCCAGCAGCGCAAAGCCAAGCCCTGCCCCAGATCTGGGGCTCCAAGTGGCCTCCTGTCCCGGCTCTTTCCCACTGCCGACAGAGGGCCCCGGACCCCCTCGCTCCCACCGGCCAGGTGGTCCTGCCCGTCATCAAGCAAGACAGCGAGTGCGGCACGGATGACAAGCCTGGGCGGGCAGAGCCCACCGCCCGGAGCTGTCCTGTCGAGACGTGGCCGGCCACTGTGCCTCGCGGATGCAAGGAAAGACGAGCCTCACTGCCAGCCGGGAAGCTAACCGTGCCTAGATTGCTTAGCAGAAGACCAGCAGCCTCCTCCCTGCTCCACTGCAACCTCGACCTTGAAACGACCAATACACACAGCCCTGTGGCACCGACTGCCCCGGCCCCGACCCCCGGCCTGTCGCAGTGACGTTGCTGGCTCCCTCGCATCAGTCTGCCCCCAGGACTCGAAAACCCTTCGCCGGACTCCCTCCCCAGGGCACCTTGCGACCACATTCGAATACAGTTTGAGCAGCTCTCGTGCTCTCTGCTCCACCTGCGCAGCTCCGCCTCCCGCCTTCCCGAGGGCCAAAACAACCTGTTCTGGTGAGTGGCGCCTGTGCCCGTGCCTGTGCCTGTGCCTGCACTGGCGAGCCTTGTACTTACTTGCTGCCCGCGCACGAGACGGCGCACACCGATACTTGCACAACATCCCCAAATCCTAGGCCGGCCGGGACATCAGCAGATTATTTCTGTCCGAGCTCCAGTCCAGACTTGCTTTTTCCATGTGCATGTTTTGTTGGCAACGAGTGCTGCTGACACGCTGCCGGACGCCGCCAGTGCTCCAACATTGAAGGTCCGACAGGTACCTCGTACCCCTCCCGCCTTATCTCAACGGCTTGGCATTTTGCTTGCTCCAGACTTGCGAGACTGCAACCAGGCCACAACCACCCACTGCGCTGCGCAGCCTGTGGCCGAAACCTTGAGCCCCAGAAGTCCCTGCTCAAATTCCTGCTCGGCCAGTCTTGGTGATCCAGCACTGCAAGTGCGACCTGCACCTTTGCCAACCACACACTCCGCCAGCCGACTGTCTGCTTTGGCTCACAACGCCGCGCAGAACAGCTTCCCTTCGCCTCCGGCTCGTTGCGCTGCTCTCCCAGCGCTACAAGTACAGCCATCCGCAGCCTCCCACCAGCTGCCACTTGCTCACGTCGCTCATCCTTACCACCACCCATTCGCTCGCCCACACATCATCCTGCACTTTTCTGCAACACCGATCTCGCACCCGCACTAGCCTACATCGACAACGCGACAGCCGACCACGACGGCACACGACATCTCTCCGACACGTGAGTCCCGGGGACATCGATCGCTACTCAAACACACCACTTGCTACGCTGCAAGACCTGTCGCCTTTCATTTTGCCTGCCGCCAGACCTTCTCCCATCCCCACAGCGACGACATCTCGGCACCGCTTTCGGCCTGATCGTTTGCTCAACTGGTCAGTGGCAATCATCCCTTGGGTTTCCTTTTCCTGGCCAGCTCCGTGCAACACCTGCTTTGGTCTCCTCCAACAAACAGGCCCCGCACGGCTGCTACACCTGTCACACAAGATCCCGTCAGACTAGCTTCAATGAGGACTCCCCAGGCTGACAATGCACTTACGCCTCTCACAGATCTAGAATCCGGCGCTTCCTGGTGAAGCATTTGCCTTGCACATCGACCCGCTACGACTCTAATACATACATATTCTCCAAGATGCCTTCGAATACCAATGGTGACCGACCTTCCCAGCCGATTGGCGCCTCCAGATGGCAGTCCAATGGTATCTGGGGCAATGGCTACAGTAATGGGGTCATAGGTGGCGCACTTGCTCCTGGACGGGACAGCAACTCAAGAGGTGCGCTCATAGGATCTGCGAAGCCAGTCTATTGGAACAAAACTGCTAACACGGGAACAGGTTCTGATGAAGCGTCACCTGGTGCTCCGTCTGGCTCTGCCCAACTGAACCCACAGTCCGAGGCTGTTGGCTGGGGAAGCAGGGCTCCAATCTGGAATCAGCCGGGGCCGCCTGCCCAGGGCCAGTCCAACTCCGGAAACACATCGCCAGCCGTCGCTCGCGACAGCAAGCACGAGGCCCCCTTCTTCTCGAGGACAGCAGCTGTGGGACAGAACGGAAACAACATGGGCCACCGATCTGGGCTCCGTGGATCTCGTG